ACACACATGCACACATAAGCAAACAGTAGCTGTGTTGCAATCACCAGATTTCTCTGATGGTGATGGGAACAGAGGAGTTCAGCTGCCTTTCAGTTCTGCATTTGCTTTAGGCAGAAGAGTTGAGGCTTTTACCCTCTACACCATTGTAAGAATGGCTAAATTCCTTCTTGCTCCTCTTGAGGGGTGCAATTTGGACACAGACTCTCATTTCTCTGCCCAACTGGCCACCATGGTGGAAGAGAGACAGGTTCAAGACGTTTGCTTCCTTGGAAGAAACTGGCTCACCCAACCAGAACATTCAATCAGAGATGGAGACACAGAACCTCTTTGCCAAACACTGGCATAAAGAGACCCACAAAAGACCTGGAGCTTTCAAAAAGGGAATTCAGGCCAGGAATTTGGAGGGGAGAGGCTCTTAAACAAAAGCCACAATCATCAGGATGCTCCATTTGATGGTAGCGATCTGACAACATCAGAAATCCACCAAGCTCATGATTGGCAACCCAATGGGTTGTAGCCCCCCAAGGTGTTGGATGAGCGGCTTTCTCAATCTTTCTTGAAGAGGGTAGAGATTCTGGCCAGGACCCCAGAGATGGATGGTTTCTGATTAAGCCATGGCCTTCACTTGTCTCCAGTGGGCTACTTACCAGAGGCAACTTGGGCTTCCGAGCAGCTGCCACAGCTAAGGATCCGGATATGATGTACTAGAAGAAAAAGAAAAGCAACTCAACAGCCATGGCTCCATCCCCAGAGGACCAGGATCTCAATTCTCTCCCTTCCACCATAGACCTGTCATCTCTCTCCCGCCTTAGGTTGCTCCCTACTGTCCTCTGGTCATCTTTTGTGCTGAACCCCAACCAACCTTCCCTATTCCAGTTGAAGATGCAGCTGCTTTAAGGCGTTGCAGACAGGAGCTACATTCACACATCTTTTGTGCAGCACAGCACACCATTAATATTCAATTTTTCCCCATGTCGCTATGGCAAGAACCGCAGCTGCCCAGATGCTACAAACAACTCTCAGCCTCATGTTCACCTTGAATGAAGCCACTAGGAAGTGTAGCTCAGTAACGCTGAGAGTACCACAAGCACCTCCTATCTGCTCAAAAGATGGTTTTCTTTCCTGAGCAAATTAAAAGTGAACTATGGAATGGTAACTGATATTCAGAATTATAGAGCTAGTCCTCACTTACTGACCCACATTGGGACCAGCAATTCCATCCCTAAGCGGCACAGTCATTAATCATGATGTCACATGACCATTTTCAACTTTTTTGAAGCCGGCTGTGAAGGTCACAAATGGCAATCCTGTGACCATGGGGATGCTGCCACGGCCACAAGTTTGAGGACTCGTCATAAGTCCCCCTCGGTCAGCACTTTTGTAACTTTGAACGGTCGCTGAACGAGGCAGTTGGTAAGTGAGCACTACCTGTACAATGAGAGCAAAGATATTACTTCTACTAATGTTTGTAATTAGTTCAGGGTTCAGTGGTTTTCTGAAACTTTGGAGAGCAGACATGATCCACTAAACGGCACTAGCCAAGCAATCGTTTTTCTCAAAGTGAAGTCTGTAAAAAGATTTGGAGAAAACCAACAGCTGCTACATCCTTCAGCAAAGGCCAGTTTGCCCTGAGGCTGCTGTGTTGTTCACTTCAATATCTGGATCCCCAGCTGTGCTGTTGAATTGTTTGAATACACCATCATGTAGAATTACCAAGATTCCACTCCAATAGGGCATCTTTATCATTGTGTAGTCAATCATATATCCATCTATTAGGTTGACCAGGAGCCCAAAAACGATTCCTATGATTCCTGTAAATATCTGTGTGATCTGCAAAGAGGGAAAGAAACACTGCCTTCAGTTTCAACTCACCTTCCAGAACCAGACCAAGAGAGCAGAGGGTAGGGGCATTAAGATGCATGCCACTGCCTGTTTAGATTTTCTCTCCTCCTCCCCCACCAAAAACTGAGAACTTTAATAAAATAATACATTATTTTAAGATGAGATATCTAACTAAAAAGGCCATTCAGCTGCAGCTACAACCTTCCCCAGTCAGTGATATACAGGATTGGGGAACCAACCATACTCCAGATGTCGCTGAACTACAGCTCCAGCATCTCTCAGCACTGGCCATTGGTTTGGATCACTATTGTTCACCAACATCTGGAGAACCTTTTTCTTTCCTGATGTCATATTAGCTACTGGCCAGAAGGAGGCACTACGAACCAGATTTATCCTTGTTGGGACTCATCAGAGACAGATATCCTTATCTTCAACCCTTTACTGGGATTTGAACTCACAAGGCTTCTACTTGTTGACTATATAGCACATTCCGCTTTAGAGGTACCTTGGCCTGGCTAGCAGTAGCTTGCAGGAAGGGCAGTCTTATAGAAGCTATGTACATGCACCTTCCTC